AGTAAAGGACACTACATTAAAGATTGTTGCAAGTGAAAAGAAGATTTTAGACATAATTCTTATTCTAACTCTTGACCTAGTTACTACAATAGTTCCTGCTCTAACAATAACTATAGGTCAGATAATAGAAGGGATAATGACTGTTATTATAATTATTTTCAATCTCGAGAAAGAAACAGATCATATAACAACAACAGATACTATGACAACTCCAGGTATAATAACAGAAATAGAAGCCAAGAAAGAAACTATTCAAGAGATAGATATAGAAACAGAAACAGAGATAACAATAGCAGAAGCAGATCCAGAAGCTGATCTTCTACTCCTTACCCTAGAGAAGCCTATTCTGTAGACATTGTTAATAATTATGATTTTGAACAATTCAAATTATATTTCTTTGATAAGTCATTGCAAACTGCTATAGAAACCTATTTTGCTACCTCTTCTCCTAACAATACCACTCAAACCTCTACTTATACTACATCAGTAAAATGCAACATTAAAATCAAAAATAAACTCTATCAGATTATAATTAATAGTAATACCTCAATTAGTATGATTTTATATCAAATCGTCAAAAAATTAGAACTCAAGATAGATACTTACTCCTTTAGTCTAATTGTATCAGCTACTAGACCTTCTATTAGACTCTTAGAAATAATCAAAGACTTCTCTATAAAAATCAAAGAAATAACTATTCCTTTATATATAGAAGTTATAGATGCTATCTCTTATTCTCTTCTCCTAGGCAATAATTAGTCTCAGAAAGTTGAAGCTACGTATAATTAGAAAAATAGTGCCTATACCCTAAAATGGAATAAACAGAAAATTCTATATCTACTACCTATAAACAATACCAACCCTTACCTACTCAACTCACGGTAAAAGAACAGCATGAATTAGACCAATTCAAACAGGAATTCCTATACTAAAAAGAAGCCTATACTCTAACAGCTACAGATAGTGCTTCGATCCGCAATCCGTCAATTAAGGATCAATCCGACAATTCAGATTAAATGCGGATATCCTTATCTGTAAATTTAAACAGATAGATCCATAGTATATCTCGGATTGAGGATAAGGATTATTCGAATTATAATTCTAAATATATATGTGCTGTGCTTAAATTAAATTAGCAAGGTTACACTTTTTAAAAAAAATTTATAATCGTTTACTAGATAATCATTATATTACAAAACCAACAATTTTAAGGTATATCTAAATCTAATACGATTCAGGTAATAAAATTTTGTCGTGCTTCAGGATAAATACCTGCTTGATAACTCTATTTCTCAATTTGTAAATGATATGCGAAATTACTGTACCAGGTAGGATTTTTTTTTTTTTTAAAGCAAAAAAATTGGAATATTTTTAAAGATCATGTGTGAAAACGAAGCATAATTTCAAGTACGAAACCCGTAATCATCTTCGGAATATGGTCACACAATAATACCAAAAAACAACGCGAGTTTAATATAATGTGTTATTAGAATAAATGAAATTCATGATACAACTTTATTTTAAAGAAACCTGTCATAGTTTTTGATTATATCAAAATTGTTTAACGTTAAAAAAAAAAAAAAAAAAAAGAATAATTAATAATATATGATTTATTAATAATAATATAATAAATTACTATATTGATCCGGTCAAAAAATAAGCATTCAAATATTCATTCATTCAATCTTTTAATATCTGAATTTCATCAGCAAATTTCAAATGAATATTCGAATATTCACTGAATATTCATTGAATATTAATAGAGTTGTTAATTCGGATTGAATATTAATAAATGAATTCTATACTTTCAAGCTACATTGAAATGAATAAATAAATTGCTAACTAATCAGTATATAGATTAAGCATACAATCTTGCATTTAATCAGTCGATTAGATAGTATACATTCATTGAATATTCAATGAATTATTTGGCAAAAAATTTTTATATTCGAATATTTAGTTCAGTGAAATAATTATATATTCGAATATACTATTCATCGAATCAGACCTCTCTTTAAAACTTGCCATTTGACGAATTCTCAGTGAAATACCTGCAGCAGCCGATTGTAATGCTCTATACTTACTCTCTTTAAACCTGAATCTTAAATAATAACAATAATAAATTATTATTTAACATAACTATTTTTTCTCAACTCCAATTTCATACATACCTAAAAAATTAGTTGATTAATAACATTGTCGATGTAATTGTTTAAAAATCATTCTTCAGCAGGTTAGGCAACAATATTAAAGGCGCAAATACGTATTATTTTAGAAATATCAGGTTCAAATCAACCTTTTATTTCAAAATAACGCAGATAGGCATACACACATATCTGAATAAATACGCGGGCGGCATTATATATAGTAGCTATAACCGACTTATAAATGTGTAATTGAATAGGTTAATGTCTTTAAAGGATCCTTCTTTTAAATAAATCTTTGATATTTTGCATGAGCGATAGTTTTATCCAATATACTAAGTGTAAAACTAAACAAGCTTAAATTAGTATTTGAATACTTTGACCTAAACAGCGATGGAAGACTATGGAGTAGACAATTTTGATGATTATTATCCTGATGATTATTATCCTAGCGATAACTCCGAAATTGCAGAAGGATCAGGAATTTCAACTAAGACCTTTAATTCATTAGTGGTTACTAAACCTAGTATGCAAGCAACATCAGATGTTCTAACAATACCTTCAAAAAATAAAAAAAAAGGTGATAAATTAATAATAGATTAAGATTTTGAATAACAAATAGTTTAATACGTTTTATCTATCCAAAGAGCCTGAAAATAAAAAAACATACAAACGTAAAAGACCATCATTTACTCGTGATTATTTTGAAAAAATGAAAAATGATAAAGGCGAAGAGATACGAGTTTGTAAAATTGTGAATGAGGATGGGATTAAGTGTGGTCAATCATACAAGAATATAGGAAGTTCAACGGGAAACCTTATTATACATCTTAGGGACTGCCATGGAATTGTTTCACATGACGATATTGAAGCTCTAAGAAAGGTAACTACAAATAGAAGAACTAAATACAAAATTAATAAAAAGGCTAAAATATTAAATTTTAGCCATGAGACTCCAAAATTACTGAATTTGTGCGAAATGCTCGCCCTCATCCTATTCATATTCAGAAACAACGTGAAGAAGTAGTTCTAAAATGGATGTTACTTACAAATCAGCCACTCTCTACAGTTACTAATGAAGCATACAAAGAAAAAATGGCTGCATTTGATCCTTCTTTTACTATTCCAGGAGAAAAAAAAATTAGAACCATGATTGCTAAAAGTTATAACTATAATAGAGAAAATTTAAAAAATCTTCTTAATCAAACTGTAAAAAGCATTTCACTTACAATGGATCTCTGGTCTAGCAGAGCCAAGCATGGATACCTAGGAATTACTGCTACTTGGATTATACCAAATTTAGAAATTAAAGATGTAATATTAGAAAATAAGTATGTTCCTGCTCCACATTCTAGTAAAGTTATAGCTGATGAGCTTTATCAGTGTATAAATTCTTGGAATCTTGAAAATTGTATAACGTCAATTACCACTGATAATAGAAGAAATATAGTCGCAGCTTTCCCTTTATTAAACCAGAAAGACGGATGCAAAAATATCAAATGCCTTTCATGTGCAGCTCATACGCTTCAGTTGGCAATTAGAAAAGGCCTAGCACCTGCAGAGATCTTGGTGGCACGTACAAGAAGGCTAATTCAATTTTTTCAGTATCAAAAGCAAATAGAGAGGTTAGAGGATGTACAAAAAAATCTTGGATATACAGATGTTTTGCGTTGTATTCAGGTAATTATATAAATCAAAATTGATTAATCATTTAGTTGACTGATTTTGATAATTAATCGATTAATTATCAAAATCAGCCAACTAAATGATTAATCAATTAACCAATTAGTTAACAATAATTGATATGCAATCGATTTTTTAAAAATATTCGATAATTATGATTATATTCTTTACCCTGATTCATAACACTGCATTCAGGATGTATCCACTCGTTGGAATTCTATGTATTACGCTTGGGATCGGCTCTTTTTTTTAAAAGATACAATTATTCAACTCCAAGCTAATCTATGTACATCAGTTGATTGGGAGGTTAAAAAAGATGGTAACAAATTAAAAAGGATTCTTCTTTCAGACGATGAATAGGAATTAATAGATCAACTTATCGATTTGCTAATACCATTCGAGGAGGCAATATGAGAATTCTCGGGAAATACGTATGTAACATTAAGTAAAGTCATTCCAAGTATTAAAGAAATGATATTTGATTTGGCGGGTAAAACATTAACATCAGATAATACACTGTTTTTGAATGAGGACACCGTGTTTGGATTGGAAGATGAAGAAGCACAACCTATTGATTTCGATGATGAAGAAGTTATAAGTAACATTACAAAAAAAAAAATTTTAATTAAAGCCCCCTTAGATACAACCGGTATTTTAGAAGAAGTCAAACAGAATATTTATGAAGCACTAATCTACTATTGGAATGATCCAAGTGATCTTGGTCTGGCGGCAGTTTTATTAGATCCACGTTACAAAGATTTAGATTTCCTAGAAGATGACTCAGAAAAGCAACTAATTATTCAAAAGCTTCGTGATGAATTCAGTGAACTAGAGGAACACGTACCTGAATTATCCACATGTCCAACTTTATCTAATACAGAACCTGCAACACGATCACATAAAGAGTACCTTCAACAACGTAAATTGAAAAGGCAAAAAAAAGACAAGATGGTGTCAGAACTACAAAATCTTGATGAAATTTCCAAATATTTGTCATTACCATTAGCATTAAGTACTGAAAATCCTTTAGACTGGTGGAAAACGCATTCTTCAAAACTTCCAAAACTTATCAAAATAGCCAGAAAGTATCTTGCAATACCTGTGACGTCGGTGTCAAGTGAACGATTGTTCTCAGATGCCGGCAATCTTATTAGTTCTAAAAGAACAAGCTTAGATCTGAATTTAGTAGGTCAAATGTTATTTTTAAAAAAGAATCTAAAAGCAATGCGCGTTTTTGCACCAGAATGGGGTAACAATGAATCATAATAGGTATAGGCGTTATCAAAGATGAAAAGGAGGTAATATTGAATTTAGCAATTCTAACAGACGAAAATTAACCCTAAACGCTGTTATATATTACAATATATCTGTATATTGAAAACTTTTCAAAAATTTATTTGCATAAAGTATGAAATATTTACATTTTGTAAAATGAATTCAAATAAATAAAGTACTGTTAACATAGATTGATAAATTTGTACTTACATACAAGTCACTCTCGTTATAGTGAACTCTCGTATAATGAAGATCTTGATATAGTGAAGAATTGTTTTTAAATTCACTGCCATTATTATTAACCCTTCGCTCGATATAATAAAGTTTATATAGTATTCTCGTGATATAAGCTATAGTGAAGTTTTTTTTTTATAAGCCCGATCACTTCACTATAACGAGAGTAACTTGTATAATTTAGGATTTTGTTGGCTCTTTTTTTTTTTTTTAAAAAAAAAAACAGAAGCTAATGCATGAAAGTGTATATGCGTCGTTCCACAGGTTGACTGTTAAAAAATATATATTTCGCTTTCAGTCATCAAACTTGCGATTATGTAATGAACGTTCTTAGAAAATAAGTTACCTTGATTTTATTACTAATCCGAATTTAGATCCGAATTAATCCGAATTTACCTGAATTTGAATTACTAACCGGATGCATAAAAGGGCATACGGATTTTATCCGAATTGCTCTGAAAATTTAGGATCGAAGCTCTACTAAAGATATACAAAAATATTTCAAATATAAAGGAATTAGCCTGTTTAAACAAACTCTCTTTAGCTATATTCTTATTAATTTTGGTCATACTTTTCTCTCAATAAAACTCAGAAATACTTTAATAGGAGATAAAAAAAAACAAGTACTCTTATTATAGAGGCCTTTCAGAATTTTGGTCTAATTACCTTAATTAAACTATTACTTTTTGAAGGAACTTCAGTCTGCTCAGACTAATAGATCATCTTTTTTGAAACAACAGATAACCAGAATTGTCTTTAAGAATTTCTAGAAGCATTCACAAAGTAACAACAGACTAAAAAGAAACTCCAAAAGTATGTTACTACTATGAAATGGAGGAACATATTAAAAAAAACTGTGAAAATCTTAAACTCTTAATCAAAATAAGTTGTGCTCAAAAAAAAAAAAAACACAAAAAAACAAACCTAGTCTAAATTCAATTTCAGAATTTAGTGAAGATAACTTTTATATATCTAATTCTTAGAAAATACTAAAAAATCTAATAACTCAGTAATCTCAGAAAATTCTTATATTCCTCTAGCTAACTCGAACTAATCTTCCTCAAAGTTACTTGAAGAAAACTCTGTTCAAAGTAACTAGAAAAATAATATAGAAACTCAAGAGCAAATAATCATTGAGTCCTTTTCTCCTATTTCTCTAAAAGCAGTGAATAAAAATACAAATAATGAGCAAAACTCAGACTCTATAGAAGTCAATGCAGATTGTAACTCAAAAGAAGAACCCTTCAATATTATTACCTCAAAGAAATCTAGAAATAAGACAAAAAAGAAAGATGAAGGTTATCCTAAATCAACTAGATTACTAAGAAAAAGAGACCTCTTTTTTGATAACAAATGAAGAGCAAATGCTATCAGGAGTACTAAAATATTCAAAAAACACTAATTCTCTTTAAATACTTTCTAATATAAGCAAAATCAAAATAGCAACTCTAAATGTTAAAGACTTAAACAATAAGTCTAAGGCACAAAAAACACTTACTCTTTTAAAGTTATATAAACTAGATATTATTTTTTTACAAGAAACAAACCTAACATACACTACAACTAGAAACTTTTTATTATAATAATGGAACTATGACTCAATTTGGTCTTCTAAAATAGCTATTTTAGCTAGAAACAAAAAATCTAATTTTCTAACTTTCAAAAGTTCTTAGATGGATATATTCTTCAAACAAGAATCTTATTTTATATTATAACTATCTTATTACTAATATCTATACTCTTCTAAGACAAGACAAAAGAAGAAATTTTTTCAACAACTAGACTCTAGCAATAGATGAAAAGGTAGTGAATATTATTACTAGTGATTTTAATATTAATATTAATCTAGACAAAAACAGAATTAGCTAGGCCCTCTCTCAAAGAAATCTATTTAGTAAATTGTTAAAATTTCTTATAGCAGATTTTATTAATACTGCAGAGTTTGCTAAACCTGAGTTTTTTCTAACTTTTTATCAGACTACTTAAAGTAATCATAGAATAGCTACATGACTAGATTATATATTTATTGACTCAAACTATAGCTTATTCTGCAAGAGCACTTGCACTCATTTTGAAAACTCTAACTATCTATTTGTTAAAAGTGAACTAGCTTTTAACTTAGAATCTACACATAGCTCCTTCTGGAAATTTAATAAAAAATACTAGTCAATCCCAAATCTCAAATTAGAAATCCTTAAAGAAATAGAAAATATACAAGATATCAACAACTAAGACTCTTACAAAACTATCTTCTAGTCTATATGCAAAGCCTATAAACAAAAACCAGTATTAAAAAAAGCTATACAAGCTATCTACAAGAGATTAACTATAATTAATAACAGAATAGCCAGAAATTCAGCTCTAGCAGACCTTTAACTTTCAGCAGAAAGCCTTAAACTACAACTACAAGATAAACTTTTGCTTTTGTCAGAGAAATAACAAATCAGATCTAATGCTAAATGAATAAAAGAAAGAGAAAAATCTACTAAATACTTCTTATCTTTTTACAAAGCTAGATATTCTTTCTCATGTAGTTCCAAAATAGTTGATCCAAATAATACTAGCTCTTCAGACCAACAGTCTCACTACAATACATAAGAAACTCCTACTCAGATATCTATAAAGCAGACTCTATCGATCTTGAAGCAGCAAATAGGCTAATATAGAATCTTTCTAAAATTTTTTATAACAAAATAATCTCTAACAAAAATTATAACAGAAGAAGAAATTAGCAAGATCATCAATTTACTTCTAAACAACAAATTATCAGAACTTAATAGTCTAATTTACAAATTTTATAAAGATACCAAAGAGGAAATTCTTCTAACTCTGTCTAAACTCTTTAACTAGATCTATAATAGTAAACTCAGTTCTTAATCTTGAAGTAAAAATGTTATTATTCTTATTCTAAAGAAAACTAATAATCTAGAGGATATCAACAACTGGAGACCAATTTTACTTGTGAATGGAGATACAAAATTTTTATGAAGATCCTAGCAAATCACCATAATTCAATATGTAATAGCATTATTGGTCCTTCATAACAGGCCTTTATTGCTAACAGATCAATTATAAATTCTGCTCTAGATATTATTACAGTATTAAAGAATTAAAACAATCAATTAAAGCAATATTGGCTCCTTCTTCTCAACTAATAAAAAGCTTTTGATTGTATTAACTACTAATTTATTAGGCTTATTCTGAAGAAAATAAACTTTAACTCAAAGTTTGTGAATATAATTAAGTCTTTATTCTCAACTCAACAAGCTTATATCTTAGACTAAAGCAGAATCTCTGAACTTTTTAGTGTAGAAAGAGGAGTTTGACAAGGTGATCTACTTTCTTTACTATTTTATATCTTGGTAATAAACTCTCTCATCTAGACAATTTATGATAATATCAGAGGTATCTATTTCTAAGAACTCCTATTTAAAATAGCAGCCTATGCAGATAATCTAACAATAGGTATTGGATCTCTTTTAAACTGATCAACTCTTACAAATATACTTCAAAAATATAAGCTAGCTTCTAACTCTAAAATTAACAAAACCAAGTCTATTTTAGCTCCTTTAACTAATAGTACATATAGAGTAGAGCTACTAGATATATATAGCTTCAAATTACTAGAAAATAATAACAAGAATTTTAAAATTCTAGGCTTAGAGATTAATACAAAAGGCAATATTAGCAAAGACCTCTGGTCTCATCTTACTAAAAAAATTCAGAAAAATATCTAAAACTTCTTAGCAAGAAACTTCTCATTTAAGGACAAAATCTTAATCACTAAATCTTTACTAGTCTCAAAAATCTAGTATACAGCTTATCTTCTCCTACCTAGCAGAAAATAGCTAAACACAATAAATACTCTCATCAGCAACTAGACTAAAAATAATTCTTATTTACTTATATTCTATTTAATATTTTAGCTAAACCCTGAGCATAGAGACTTTTTAGCTCTAATATTAAAGGATATGCTTGATACTAGACTAATTTCTATCTGGTTAAAGCTTTTATTTAGTAATCTATTCTAAGCAAAAGCAGAAAGAATATCTATCTCATGCAGAGTTCAAAATATAAGAAATATCTTAGCCTACTAGTCTTTTATCCTAAGCTCTATTAAGCTTAAAGAATAGTCAGATCTTTAGAAACCCTATCTAAATGCTTAAAAAAGGCTTTGAAAACAGATTAACTCAACTCAAAGCTAGCTCTAGTCTTTAAACACAAACAAAATTAACAATACTCCTAGTAATAATTACTCAGTAAAAGGGCAACCAAGAACCTTTACCTTAAACCTACTGCTAGCAGCATCTTAATCATTCATAATAAAGAGCTAGAACAAGACCTAAAGTTTTCAACT